AACTGAGATACATGCACTTTACTGGAATAGAACGCGACACACCTTGGCCAGGGCTAAGCAGTTATCTTTTTTTTCCTTTTTATTGAATTTATTGAGTGACACTGGTTAAAAAAATTATTCAGGTTTCAGATGCACAACAACACATCATGTGTACCCTGTATTGTGTGTTCACCACCCCAAGTCAAGTCTCCGTTCATCACCATATATCCCTCCCTACACCCTTCTTCACCTTCCTCCATCCCACTTCTCCATGGCAGTCACCACACTGTTGTCCCGTGTCCATGCATTTTTGTCTCTTTTTTTATCTCAATCCTTCCGCTCCTCCCACCCAGCCCCCCTCAACCCCACCTGCCCCCAACAGCTGTCTAGGTATTTATCTTGATTGGGTTTCTCTGGGCTTGGATCTGTCATGTGATGTCTTCCATTATTTTTAGCTGTTATCTTTTCAAATCCTTCTTCTGACCCCTTATCTCTCTTTTCTTCTGGGATTCCCGTTATTTACATATTAGACCATTTAATATTGATCCACAGCTCTTGGATGCTCTATTCTTTTTCTTTCTCCAGTTTTATTAAGATATAACTGACATATAACACTGTGTACATTTAAGATGTACAACATAATGATTTTATATATCTAAATATTTATAAAATCATATATAAATATATATCATGTTTATATGTGACATATATTTATATATTTATGTCATATATATTTTTTTTCTTTTTAAACTCTTCTCTTTCTGTTTTAGTGTGGATAATTTTGGCTGACCTATCACTGATCTCTTTCTTTGGCTCTGTTGAGTCTACTGATAAAGACTGTTAAAGGCATTCTTCATCTGTTAACTGTGTTCATTTATTTCTAGCATTACCATTTGACCCTTACAGTTTCCATCTCTTTGCAGAAATTAATCATAATTTGTGCATATACCTTTTTACTAGTGCTTTTTTAAAGTTTATTTTTTGATTGATTGATTTCTAGAGAGAGGGAGAGAGAGAGAGAAACATCAGTGTGAGAGCAAAACATCTTATTGGCTGCCTCCTGCATGCCCCCTACTGGGAATAGAGCCCTTAACCCCAGGCATGTGCCCTGCCTGGGAATTGATCCGGCAACTTTTCCGTGCATGGGATGATGCCCAACCAACTGAACCACACCAACCAGGGCTTTTCTAGTGCTTTTAACATAGTAACTATAGTTATTTTAAAATATTTTTTCTGCTAATTACAACATTTGGGTCATCTCAGAGTCTGGTTTTATTGATTGCTTTGCTTTGTCACAGTGGGTTTTTGTGTGTGTGTGTGTGGATGGGAGTGTATGTTTGTGGGAATAATTTTTTATTGAATGGTGGCCATCATGTATAGATCAGTACAGACATCCTGGAAATGGTATAACTTTTCTGCTTCATTGTTACTATGGGGGTTAAGTCAATCTATTCAAGAGTCGAACTGTGTTTGGGTTTTGTCCTGGCTATAGGAACATTTAACGCATTGCCAGCTTCAAATTCCTCTCCTATTATCTTGTGCTTAGAGTGGGTGCTAGGTTGTCCCAGGGTTTTTCTTAAGGTTCCTGTTCCATGCTCAGCTTTCTGCCTTCCCTTTGCATAAAATAGTGAGTCTCTCTCCAAGCTCTAGCCCCTCCCCTAGCACTAGACTTCAGTTGCTGGTTACTCCATACTTACTAGCCTGGTTGTGGGGATCTGGGAGGGGGGATTCTTTTTTGTCCTGGTCCAGCTTCCACCTTAGGTAAGGTGTGTATCCCTGGGTCTCCTGGGTATAATTTCAAAGTGATCTTGTCTGCCCCCCAGCTGAGAAGACTCTAATGGTTGGATTCAGGATGATTCCCTACTCTTCGCCCAGGATTAGAGAGATACAGTATGTCTTTTCCCTTTCCTCAGTCGTAATGGGTCTTGACCTGTGCCTTGAAGACAACAGAGTTTGCTGATCTCTCCCCAGCACCTTAAGGCTCTTTCTGTAGGGGAGAAGGATCCGAATGGGGTTCTGTGCTTTTCTCAGAAGTAGCAGCTGCTCCCCTTCCCCACACTTGGACCCACTGGAAATCTGTGGAGATGAGTCTGAAAGTGGGTATGAACTCTCATTTTGTCTGATGCTTCCTGGGGTTCTGTACTCTATACTGGTCTACACTTGGCTTTTTAGCAATTAATTTTAAATTTTAGATGAATTCTTAACCATCTGTGTGATGCCCATTGAAGTCTTCTTATGCTTTGCTACAGATGAGCTAGTGCTCATGTCCAATCTCGTCTTGGAAGCACCCGTCTTTCCTTAGATTTTATTTAGGCTACTTGGTAGCCCTATAACCTCAGCTCTCTGATGGGTTCAAGGAAAGTTATAATTTTGTTATTTTTTTAGATTTTTCTCATTGTTCTGGTGGGAGGGATGCTCTTTCCAGATTTCTACATCCTAGTCAGGAGTCAAATTACAGTGTTGTAAAGTCACTTGAAATAGTTGCTTTCTGTGTAGCTGTGTATTTAATTCAACATAAAGTAAGTTCATTTGCTTAATTTTTCTTTCAGTTTTAAGGGACTGCTTTTAAATTTTAATTTTGTTTCATAATTATGTGAACTACTTATATGATTTCAAGTCATATATACAGAACAATGTGTATATAGAGAAGCTTTGCTTCTCTCCCTGTCTCTTCAACCTTATTTTTTTCTTTTCTCAGTAGGAAACCTCATTTTTTAAAAAATTATAATTTATTTTTTACATTATATATGACTTAAGTCATATTACATATGATTGTTTCTTACACATTTCTTACATTTAAAAGATAACACTCAGATATGTATAAATATTTGTATCCCCTTTTTTTCTTAGATAAATGGTAGCATATATAGTATACAAACTTATCTCCACATTGTTTTTTTAATTTAACACTTTACAATAGTTATTTAGAGATATTCTCATTCCTTCTTACAGCTGCGCAGCACTCCATTATGTGGACATACCATACTTGATTCAGCTAGTTCTCTATTGATGAGCATTGGGGTTGTTCTCATGTTTTTTGCTTTTACAGATAGTGTTGTAATGAATAGCCTCTTGTATGTCTTTTTGTATTTTTGCCATTTTAGCTTTAGACTCCTAAAAGTGGCATTGCTGAGTTAACAAGTAATTCATATACACTTGCTAGATATTGCCAAATTTATCTTCAGTAGAGTGTAGTACCATTTTGTATCCCTACAGAAGTGTGTGAGTGCTCTTTCCCCTGCAGAGTATGTTGTGAAACTCTATAATTTTTGCCAGTCTAAGAGGTGAACATTTTTATTTCAAGAAGTTTTAATTTGCATTTCTCTTGAGAGTGTGATTGAGAAGTTGGTTTTTATAAGTTCTTTGAACAACCTAATTTTTCTTAAAATTTCAGTATAGTGTCTTGTATTTCATTTACCTGCAACTGTTGTCCACAAAATGTTGTGCCCTTTGGGCCAAAAACCATATGAGAAGGGACTGCTTCTGTTTCTTAGCGATTTGAAGATTCCAGAGTTTCAGTCACAAAAATTAAATTTGGCAGATGAACATAAGAGTTTAAAGGTTTGCAATCTTGTAGTTCACTTTGGAAATGTTACTTGATCTGTGATTGCCAGGTAACCTGATAAAAAGAGTATAGATCAAGATGGATGTGGCAGTAAAAAAGAAGGATCTCTTACCCTTTGAGACAACATGGATGGAACTGGAGAGTATTATGCTAAGTGAAATAAGCCAGTCAGAGAAAGACA